GGGAGAGGCAGCAGGGGACCATGAAAGAATACTGACTTTGGAGCTAGAAGACCTGGGTTCAAATCTCCCCTCTGATGCTTACTACCTGTGTGTCCTTGAGCATGTCACCTAGCTTCCCCAGGCCTCAGTTTCCTCATCTGTAGAATGAGGGAGTTGGGCTGGGCAGTTTCTGAGGTTACTTTCAGTTCAAGATGGAGGGTCCTAAAGGGGTAACAACTAGTCCGAGGAATAGCTCATGTCTCCGTGACATCAGGATTCCCAATGTACCTTCCTTGCAAACGTGCAGGGCGAAAGGAATTAGGTTGGGAGTCAGGATACCCGGATTCAGATCTTGGCTCTACCACTTACTATGTGTGTGACCTTGGGTAAGTCACTCCCTGTCTGGTTCCTGCACTGCCTCTGTACAAGGAAGATGAGTGAGATGAATGTGTGAACATAAAGTGTTTATTAAGTGTTTACTGTGTGGGGGTCACTGTGCCTTAAGCTAGAGATACAAAGAGAAAAGTCAGAAAGTCCTTGCTCTTGAGGAGCTCACATTCCAAGGTAGGGAGACATCACACAGGGAAGGTTTCAGCTGCAGGTCAAATGAAGTCTCCTGGTTCTTAGGGGGCAGCAGCAAAACTGATAGTGCTACCTCTTCTTTCATGACATTTTCGCTGATAAAATCATAGTAGCTCCTGATGCTGGACCGTTGGACAGTGCCAAGGTCTTTGGTGGCAAGAACCTTCTTTTCTGGGTCTTCGGTAGGTGTGGCTGCAGCCCCTGTAAGAGCAATGGCCAAGGTGCATCCTCCCAGGTGCTGCTTCCCAGGATTATCACTGAAGGTCCCTGGGTTCAGGGTCTGAGGAGAGACAGTGGTCAAGGGGGTGAGGGTTTGACTTACCTGGAGAAATAGCCTCCCGGTTGCCCTCAGGCTGCCTCAGAAGCTTCAGCTGGGCGATCTGCCTGCCCTGTGAGTGGTAGTTGGTTGGTAATTGATGGAGGGGGCTGGCCCCTTCTCCACAGGAGTTGCTTCCCTTGATGATGGCCGAGTGCTGGTACTCTGGCCGGTGATGACGGTCCTCAGGATTCTGTACTCTCTGCCTGCTGGGAGCAGCTCATGACCTCCAAGGTGCCTCTGAATCCATAATCCTACGAACAGTTCTCTCAGGTAAGTACTAAGAGTATCGTCAACTCACATTCCAAACTATGAAGTTGTATTTTCCCATTTCGTGGAGGGATAAACTGAGACTTAAAGAGATCAAATGACTATCACACAGCTCATTAAGGTGGAGCAGGGATTACTATTCAAATTGCTTCTACTCCAAGTTCATTCCTCTTCTTACTACACCAAGGTAGTACATCATGAACTAATATGAAGAGGTAGAAAAAGAAGCATTTTTCTGTATTTACAACTGCTATGGAGTGCACCGAATCCCACAAGCAGGAAGGAAAGACCCCACCCTGGGCCCCCAGCTTAAAATATGTTTATGAGGGGGTGGAGAAAATGTGTCAGGGAGAGAACTGTAGATCATCTCGCAACCATGACCACTCTATGGTTTAAGGTATTTGAAACTCCAAGAAGTGTTTCATTTTCCTTTCTCGCTTTGATCTTTGGAAGACTGCCTAAATTCATCTTATTCCTCGTGAAAGGAATCAGCGGCACACCCGTGAATAGCCACACATCAGAGGGTGGGTTTGAACACGGCCCAGGGTCTGCGGTACTTTCACTCTGTGTGCGCACGATGGACCATGGACTGGGCAAAAGGGCCATTTTGCTGTCCCAGTCACTCTTTGATTTTTCATAAACCTTCATCCACATAAATCCGACTTCATAAAGGAGATCCAGGAATAGCCAAGCTTCGTTCCATGACAGGCCAAATGAAAGACCTGCCCAGAGCACCTGCCAGGTTGAGGCTAAGTGTTCAGAACGGTCTTCATGTTCACTAGGCACCATCACCCCCAGATCACAGCACACGGCAGGGAATGTTACCATTGGTTCGTAGACGCACCACCCAGGCTCCGGGGCCATTCTCCACCCTTCCATGAGCACTAGCAGGTTGGTTCCCAGAGGATTCAAAGGGTAGCCCTGAGGGTTTGGGAGGAGTTTCCAAGTGACCTAGATCAAGAACCCCCACCAAGGGTTCTTCACTGTGATAATCAGTTAATATCAATTAATGCGACAGACTTAATTAGTTTTGAGAAAAAAGTGTTTACTAAGGTAGTAACAACAGTCACTATAAATCATCCCCCCCAAAGTCTGTGACGCACTGTCACCACAAGCATATAAAGAATCCAGGGGAAAATGGGCTCCAGCTTTAAGTACACTGGGGCAAAGGGGAACTCGCCATTCCAAATTCCCTCATGAAGCTCCCCTTGGGCCTGGGATGGCTTCTCTGCTAGAGAATCCCCAGGTTCTCCTCTCTCCGTCATTTCACATCACTTTGAGTCTAGGACAACCAACAAAACAATAAATCAGGCCCTGATGTCTAGGGTTGGCTGATTTCTGCAGTATATAAATTCTCAGACTGAAAATTTAACAGTTGGTTCCTGTAATCATCCTGTAATAATCAGTAAGCTGGATTGAGCTGGCTCCATCACACCCCTGTGTGCGTGCACACACCACTACACACACACATCTATTTATATCTAAACATTGTTGGTGTTGATGTTGTGGAGTCATTTTAGTTGTGACCCCATTTGGTGTTTTCTTGGCAAAGATACTGGAGTGGTTTGCCATCTCCTTCTACAGCTCATTTTTACAGATGAGGAAACCAAGGCAAATAGGGTTAAGCGACTTGTCCAGGGTCACACAGCAAGGAAGCATCTGAAGCTGGATTTGAACTCATGGAGTCTTCCTGATTCCCAGTCCAGTGCTCTATGCACTATGGTGCCGCCTAGCTACCCATATCTAAATATAGATATACCTCAAATACTGGCATATGTTGCTTAGGATCATACGACCATAGGTTCAGAGCTCATTGGGAGCTTAGAGGCCACCCAGACCCAACACTCTCATTTTACAGAAAATGGAACTGAAGCCGAAAGAGGTTAATTGACTTGCCCAGGGTCACACAGCTAAGAAATATCTAAGACAGGCTTCTAACCTGGTTCTTCTGACTCCCAGTGCATTATCCTTTCTATCAATTAATCAGTAAACATTTGCTAAGCACCCACTATGTGCCAGGACTGTGCTAAACACTTTACAAATATTATCTCATTTGATCTTCACAACAACCCTGCAAGGTAGGTGCCATTTGTATCCTCATTTTATATTTGAGGAAACTGAGGCAGACAGAGATGAAGTGACTTTCCCAGGTCAAGCAACTAGCAACTGTCTGAGTCTAGACTTTAATGCAGTTTGTCCTGATTCTAGGTCTAGCACTCTTCACTGCACCACTCAGCTGCCTCTGGAGAGAGGATGAGGCAAAAGATGCCTGCAGGATAATCAAATCAAAAAGTCTAATAAATAGGAGGTGACTCAGGAATAGAGCTCCAGAAAAAGATTAGGACTGATTCTACGGATCTGGCAATCATTTGCATAGAGATGATCATTTAATCTCTGGGAGCTAATGAGGGGAGAGAGAGAGAAAGACAGAGACAGAGAGAGACAGAGACAGAGACAGATTCACCAGATTCAGTCAGAGACAGAGAGACAAAGAGACAGAGAGTAACAGAGAGAGAGAGAGAGACAGAACAGAAACAGAGACAGAGAGAGACACAGAGAGAAGAGAGAGAGAGAGAGAGAGAGAGAGAGAGAGAAAGAGAGAGAGAGAGACTGAGAGATAGCAAGCTTTGGAGAACTCTAATGGTCAGGAAACACAAGATGGAGGATAAGCCAACCAGGAGCCTGAGGAGTGGCCGGAGAGGTAGGAGGAGAACCTGGGAGAACAGTGTTACAAAAACCCTGGGGATAAAGTATCCAGGAGAGGCAGGGTCCCCAGTGTAAAGTCCTACAGAGAGGTCAGGAAGGGTGAAGACTGAGCAAAGCACCATCAGCTTTGGCCATGAAGGGGTCAGTAACTTTGGAGAGAGCAGTGACAGTTGGATAAGGAGGCCAGAAGCTGGACAGCAAAGGGACGAGCCTGTTTTCAGGACCAGTGCCCACTCTGTTATCACCCAGCTGTGCATGACAAATGTGAACATTAGCTCGCTCGCGTCTGTTGTTTCACAAAGAAAAGGCCCTTTTTTCCCTATTTCAGGCAGCATGGCAAGACTTTGCATGTAACCGACTGAAAAAAACAGCGCAATATTGGAGAAGAGTTCTGGATTTGGAGTTGGTGGGCCTGAATTACAACCTCAGCTCAGCCACTGACTACCAGCATGACCTTGGATAAATCACTGTATCTCTGTGAGCCTCAGTTACCACCTCTGTCCAAT